ATACCCGCCGCGCGCGAGAGGAGCCTTTCAGTATAAATGAAGCTATTTTAAAGGTCTTGGCCAGGTATAACTGGTTTAAACAAGGCCGGTAATGACTCAGAGGGCTATAAATGTCCGTCAGAGTCCTCGGCGAAGCTGTCGGGGATTGATCTCCTGGGCAAGCAGCCTCCCGTTGCGATGCGAAAGCCCAGGCAGCCTGCGCACGCTCCCGTCCCCGTGCTCTGCTACCGGCACCGCCACCCGTGCCCCTTCGAGCTCCCTTCGTCCACGGCCCGGGGGTTCATAGACCCAGTTCCTCCAGTTGTCTCGGGCTCTGTGTGGGTACGGGCCCTGCCATCCCCACGTCTCCGTTCTCCAGCCAGAGGCCGTGCCGCTGCATCCCTGCCGCAGGCTGAGCATCGGGCTCGGGCACCACGGGATGCCCCAGCGACGGCTTTGGCTGGCCACATCCCTTCGGTTCTATGGGATGTGTTAAGTCTTTGGTAACTGGGTCCCTGTTTAAGGTGATGGGGGCGATGGGCTGGACCTTGGGCGCTGGACCTTGGGTGCTGTGCTGGACCACCTTGGGCTGCAGCGGGGTTGCTGTATCCCACTCGGTAGCGAAAGCCGCCGTGTTCTCCCTCCCTCGGCCTCTGTGGGGACTGAAGCACCTTCAGACTGCACCGGGCTGGAAGGTTTCCAGCAGAAAGGGGTTTTGTTAGGAAATAACAGGGAGTTTTTAAAGCCGAGGGTTTTGGGAGGAGTCTCTATATTCAATTTTTCTGTTTGTTTTCTTATTGTAAAACCAAAGACATTTCAGTTTTCAGAAACTGATAATTAAACATTAAAAAAAAAACGTTTCCCTTGAATGAAACCAAAACCTGAATACTTTGGTCAGCCAGGTAAAACTTCCCCTGCCTGCCAGGGCCCTTGGGGACGAAGCTAATGAGAACGTCCATGGCAGGACTCGCCCAGGAGGCAAGGAAGGCTTTTGCTTTTTCTTCCTTTCCTTGCTTTTTCTTCCTTTCCTTTCTTTTTTCTTGCTTTCCTTTAATTTTCTTCCTTTCCTTTCTTTTTCTTCCTTTCCTTTCCTTTCTTTTTCTTCCTTTCTTTTCCGACCTGGAAAGTCAGCATCGCTGGGCATCTCCCTCAGCGCCTCCTTCTCCCTCTGCCACGTGAAAGGAGGGGAGCTGGAGCAGCCCCGCCTGAGCGCCGGGAGGAATCCGTTTGCTCCGGGTTTTTCACACCGAGCCCTCTCCCCCAGCCAGATGCCTGCGCATCTTGTTTACCCAAGCAAAACGTGCTCGTGGCGAAAACCAGCGCCGGGGCGTCACGTGGGCCCACGGTAAACAGCCAGCAGATGCACTCTGTTTATTTTGCTTCAGAACCTTTCCAGAAGGCACCGTTTTGCTGGTGGGCTCCTCGGAGAGGGCTTTTTCCCACACCCGCATCCTGCAGGGTGGCAGATGCCCGCTGCCGGCAGCCCCGCCGGCACCCATCACACCACCCCTGGGCGCTGCGGGCCAGCGAGGTCCCTACGTTGGGCTGTCGCTGCACCCAGGGGCTGCTTGCAAACCCTCTCGCATTCCCCATTTGCTTCTCGGGAGCTCGTTGTCCCCATCGGCACCGGGGCCGACGCTCACTGAGCATCCTGCCGGTGCCAGTGAGCCAGCGGGACCTCCTCCGTCCCCGAGGGGGACAATAATGGGATTTTATTCTGGCCCCCCCCTCCCCATCGTGTTCTTCAGGCACTTCCAGGGTTTTATTTTACCTTGTGGTGCCAACCACTGATTCCAGAGACTCGTTACCTTCACTGGCACGGTGAATAATTACAGAGTGGGGAGGAACATTAAAATAGCACCTGGAGGACTGGATACACCAAAAATAGCCACGCGGGCCCATGTCCCAACAGGCCGGACCCGCAGGGACACTTGGGGATGAAGCAAGGTTGTCTGCGATGGTGTCCCTGAGAAGCTGGGACTGGGGGATATCGTTCCAGTATTACACAGATAAATATCCTTGGGCTCTCGAACAGGTAGCAGAACTACAGAAATGTTGCATGCTCCTGACTCTTCCTTTCTTAGACTCGTTAAAGCCTTGGAAAATACTTTCATGAATTAAGAAGCCCCGTTAAATGTTGGATCCCACTAGGAGAGCCTTGGCTGTAGAGTTCTTCCAAGAGTTAAGTCAATCTTATGGGGTGTAATCGTGGTAATTCCCCAGCGGTGCCGCTGCTGGCGACGGCCTGGTTGGGCACTCAGGTAACTCCCCGGATGGGGGAAAAGCTCTCTCCACCACCAGAATGTCACTTATTCCGATGGTTCCCATCTGGATCCTTGAATGAGCAGAGGGTAGTGTCTCCTGACGTGGGAGTTATGCAGGAACTCTGGAGGCATCCTCAGGAGCGGGACTCTGGCGCACCTTGCTGAGCCCATCCTGAACGTGACCTTGGGATCGGGCCGTGCCGGAGGGCTGGGCTCTTCCTAGCTCTGCCCCGGGGCTGCCCCGAGGACTTTGGGAATGTTCCACCCCTCACTGGCACATTTCCCCCGTTCAGAAACATGACTCGTCCTCCTCATCCTCCAGTTGTCCATTCTTCTGGCGTGAAAGCTCCCAGGGATGCTCCCAGCCCAGCAGAGCCCCTTGGCCTTACCAAGGGCTCCTTCCAGGGATCCCGAAGGAACAAACTAGGAATAAAGCCAGGCAGCCCGGGGCAGAGGGGCGAAGGCAGCTCCGCTGCCCCAGCTCCACCTTCACCCTTCCCTGTCCCGAGCTCGGACTCAACTGCTCCCTCCTCTTCCTCCAGCACCTCCATGCATCGATTCCGCCGCAATTTTCATGTCTTTTCAGGGGAAGGCCTCGATAAATCCCGGTGGTAACTGCGGTGGCACCGTGCAGGCATGCCGGGCCATCTCCCTTCCCAGCAGGCCGGTTGCCTTTTGCATCTGACAAGATCTGCAGCCCCACAGACTCCTTTTGCTTCTTGTTATTGGGATCCCCCTCTTCTTGCGAGCAACGGTGGCTTCTATCTCCCAGGAGAGCTCCTTCCCCAATTAAAGAAAAAGAAAAAAGCCAACGCATTTATTTTGAAGCAGCAGTGCAATTGGGAGAGTTCATTATATTGCATTAATTATGATAATTATCAGTAGAAGGGAGATAATTACCTGTTTGTTGTTGAGAACAAGGTAAGGGGTTCTTTTTTTTTTAGGGGTGTTTTTTTTTTTTTTTTTAATTATTATTTTCTTTTGCACAGCCCAGCCTGGTTACGTGGTGTGGGGGCACACGGTTCCTCACTGCTCAGCCTCCAGCTGTGACTACCTGCTCGCCAACTCACTTGCCACCAAAGCCCGGTGGTGAGCCTGGGCTCCGTAGCATCCTCCCCCTCCCAGCAATGCCCTGCACTGCCCTGGTCCTTACACGAATTTGCCATTGCAGCCCAGGCGGCTGCACAGGGCAAGGGCCCGCCCCTGGGAGTGCTGGGAAGAGGGAGCAGGATGCGCTTGCCGGCATCGTCGTTGCCACAAGTGAAGGAGGCGGCCAAAACCACCCCAACTCCTGGCCAAGCTTCACGCCCATCACTGGCCTCCTACCCCTGGGGAGGGGGAGATGGCTCCTCGAGTCGTGGCTTCCAATGCAAATAAGAACGTAATTTAAAAATTAAATTTAAAATAAATATTAGTTAAATATTAAAGAGGAGAAATAATTTTTGAATGGCCGGCGTGTTTCTCAGTAACCCGACCGGGTGTGTTTAAATAAGCCACCGCTGAAAATTTTCAATTTTTAGCATCCCGGGTATTTTTAAAAATGTTCCTTACAAGGCCAGCATAGACATTTTCCCCCTCTCTCAAGAAATGCTCATTTCAGCAGGTTTCCTGGGGCATGGAAGGCTGCCCTGGTGAAAGAAGGGAGAAGGAGGTGGCGGCTGCAGGAGCCGGGTCGTTTCCAGGAGCAGAGATCCCTGCCGCTGCCTCCCGGGTTGCTCCCACACCCAGGCACCTTCGGACGAGCGTTGCCGAAGGCCAAGGCTTGCGAAGCGCCCACAGTGCGTGCCCTTGCGCTACGGAGGCCAAGCCTTTGAGCAGGGGGACATGGTTGACCCCCAGCACCGTGTCCCCACCGTGTCCCGCACCGAGGATGCTCTTGGGCACGCCGACCGGGAGGGACGCGGACGTTTGGTGTGAGGCGGGGGAGGAGGGGGATGAGGAGGGCTTCTCCTCGTCCAACATGCGCTGCCTGGAAGGTCCTGAGTGTCCCGGGCCGGGTGAGGGACTTGGGTCGTGGGACAGAGTGAAGGGTGCGATAGCAGACCGAAAAGGCTGGATTCAAGTGGTGGGGCTGGAGCAACAGCAGTAGGAGCATCCTCCTTCACCGAGGAGCAGCCTCAGGTGAACACTTTGGGTCAACATCCAAGCGAACGGGACCCTGATGAAAGCACCTGAAGCTCCGCAGCTTCCAGTCCCTGCACAGGGGAGGTGACGAGAGGTAGAAAAACCTCATCTTGGGTGGCAACAAAATTCAAAGTCCTTCAAAGTCCTTCCTAAAGAGCTGTGTGAGACCGGGACCCACAGAGCTCTGGGCAGGCGTCAGCCCCCTGCCACCCCTCGTGCTGAGGTGCCAGACGTGCTGGGAGCAGGCGAACATCCGTGCTGCAGCGGGATGAAGGCCCGGAGGTGGGTGAGCTTGTTGCAAGGGGAAATTCTCATTATGGCCTCTCCTCCTCCTCCTCCTGCAGAGCTCACCAGGAATTTCTGCTCCAAATCCAGCCACGCTGAGAACACCTCCCGTTCGGAGGGGGGAAGCGACGCTGAGGCTGACCACACCTTGCCCTAAATGGCTGAAGTCAGCTGCAAGCGGGGAGCCGAGCGGACAGGACCTTTCATTTGATGACGTTCATTGCGTCCAGCAGCCACATCGCTGATTTTACTGGATTCTCCCCGAATTCTCCCTTCCTGAGCCTTTTGGCTCTTACTCCAAAGGAGCAAAAAGCTCCGGGGGGAAGCGTGAGGTCGGAGAGCCCCGTCCCAGGCTGTGCTAAGCCAGGCCTGGGGTGCAGGTAGCCCAGGAGCCCCTTTCAGCCCTGTCCCAGGGCAGGTGGTTTGGGGGTGACTGCGCATCCCCCGGGGC